CGCTCGCGAGCGGCGGGGGGGGGGGGGGAGAAGGAGAAAAAAAAAAAAGAGGGGGGGGGGGGGGGGGGGGGGGAGGAGGAAGAGAGAGAAAAAAATATGTCAGCTGTAATTAAATCTTCCAGGTGTGAATTCCTAAAGTTCAAGAGCCACAAGTCAGTAGGTCAGCCTTCCATCATCATGTGAAAGATGAATGTGACCTGTGACCTCTGCCTCTAACGGTTGAAGTAGGTATGGTGAAGAAAAGCCAGAACTTGCCATGTCAAAGCACCGAGCTGGAATGGTGTAGAAGTGGAAGAAATTACTATGTTATATAGTAATTCAGGTGGGTGGAATGTTTTAGCAGCACTTGATGTAAGCTGAATATATATCTATACATAAAGAGAAATTAGTAAAACGCACGATGTGAGGAAAGAGTTTTCTACTTTTGCCTATTGCTTTTCGTACATTTTATTTGACTATTTTCATTTGTCTTCAAAAATAAATCAATCATTAATCCCTTTCATAATTAACCGATTCTACTCTTAAACCTGTTCACATTTTCTCTCTCAACACAAATCTCCACATATTTAATTAGAAATTGATGCGACAGACCAACACAAAGCTGAATTGCGGTTGCTTTTTTTTTTCCAGTGGCTTTTTCTTTCCACTCCTCCAAAACAACCATTAAGTGCACAAAAAAACAGCTGTTAGAGTTTCCGCAGTTGTCGGATTTAAAACTCCTCCGTCAGTTTAATACCAGACCTGTCTGCTTTGTTCCTGGGTCATCACGATCCTGTTACTTTAACGTTCTCTGACAACTCTGTTGCCTTCACAGAAGCGGCTGTAGTGAAACTAAGTTATGCAAAGGTCTATTTTCTCATTAAGTTTGAAGGGCGGTTGGATGCCCATGATTTCATTTGGGCATTTTAGAATAAAAGGGGGCTGAATACAAATGCCTCACTTTTAAAGATTTTACTTATTTTTTGTTCATAAATAAGTGACGCATTTATTTTAGTTACTAAAACTCTAGAAGTTGAAAAAAAACCAAACAGTTTTTAGGGTATGAGGACTTTTGCTAGGTGATACGACCGCTGGCAAAGACTATAACACACGCAGACACAAGACTGTTTACAACATCTTTCCTGTGTTTTCATCCAGCCCGTTGCTACAGCCCAAACCCATGCATCATGACCCACATTCAGAAACACATTGTCCCTGCAGTAATTATTTCAGCTGGGATGCCAGTCATCTGTTTGGTGCTAAGAGCGTTGTATAAATTTAACTAACTAGCTTAGCAGCACCTTCAACGTGTCAGCGTTTAAGCTGTCCTAAATAAATCTGTCCCCGACACTAACGACCCTGCCTCCATTGATCTAAAAGGGGAGCCATTCCAATTGTTTATCTGTGTTTGAAGCTGAATTTATCCAGCAATCATTGTTAGCATTAGTCTGGATTTCCACCCCAGACAACTGTCTGGAGCAAGCCCGCAGCTGAAGCGAGTGACATTATGAGAAGAAGTGTCTGGGTTTATGAAAACAAGAAAAATAAACTGCACTTTGTGGTGTGAAGAACTGAACTGCTTTGATGTTTGGTGTTTTAATGAGTATTAGGTCATAAGATAATGAATGTTCCACCAATGTTCCAAGTCTGATGAAAATCAGCTGTGTTGGAGATGCTGATAAATACCAAATAACTCGGCTTGTCATTAAATTATTTTTATTTATTTATTTATTTATTTATTTATTTTTCAAAAAAAGCTTACATTTCACTCTTATCTTACATACAAATGACCCAACAATTGTGGGAGTCACATTGACTGAAATCAGTCAAATCAATTTTCTAAAG